CAGAATTATAAGAGTTCAAGAATTTTTCGACAACTACTCACCGCGTGTGACAGCCACTGTTTTTTTTCAATGTCGTATTCATAAAATCTTATATCCCTCCTGCATAATATTTACTGATTTTTACTTCAACCAAAGTTTAGAACATAGAACTCACAAGGCAAGCTGCATCCCTTTCAGTATTTCGGATTTGTATAAATCAAAATCGGCTAACAACTCGTCTAAAATTAATTGCAAAAGTATCAACAGATTTTTCCAGAAAAAGGTCTTTTTTAAATCATTATTATACTTTGAACCGAATCTAATAAATATTTGAGTATTCGAGTAAACTATTCGAATAAATTTTATTCGAAATTCGATTATTTGAAAATTTCAAAATCTCGAATATATTCGATGTTCGCTTATTCGAAAAGTGTCAATTTCGAATTTATTCAATTATTCGATTATTCGAGAAATTATTTTCGATAACGAACATTCGAATATTTATTTTCAGAAGTTATTCGATTATTCGACAATTTGTATAATCGAATAACTGCATGACAGGGTCATAATTTTGACTGCTATACCAGCAACCATCGTTTGTTGTCCAAGTCATCCACTGCATGGAGTCCTTCATTGTGCTAATTCGATCATAATTTGTTTGAATATTCGACATAATCGATGCAAAATATTCGTTTATTCGGATTTTTTTCTCAAATATTAGGTCGTCCCAAAAGTATTTTCGCTTTTTTTTCTAACAAGCGCGACAGTCCGCAGAACAAAGATTTACAGGAGCTCTTGGTAGCATTCGATGCAGTTTTTCATGCTTTTTCAAATGATTATTTTTAATGCAGATGAAGCAACGAGCTCTCAGAAAATTGCTATAAACTGCGGGCCACGCTTTTTACCAAGGTCAGGTTCAGCTATTTTTCTAAATTCTTGTACTGATTCCCCGAAGAAGTCCAAGTAATCTGTCGATAGAGCAAACAAAGTGGGATGCAAAACAATTTTTGCCCCTTCCATAGCTTACTCCGAAAATTTTTCAAAATTATTTTTTCGATGCTATCGAATTCCATATTTGGTCAACTTAAACCTCATAGAACAACAGCCGACGAGCAGCTCGGGTGTTATTCGACGCAGCACTTTCTCCTCTTTCAGAGACATGTTTTTTGTTCCTGATTCGAGAAGTTTTGGAGGATATAATCGGCAAAATTCATGTTTTTTAAGGAACCCCAGGCTGCACCCGACAAATTAAAAATTAGGTATTTCGAACCCCGGAAAGCTCACTTGTTCCGTAAAATTATGCTGAATCCTAATCCACTTTGAGAGTATCGAAAATCGAGAATTTAGTGGAGTTTGACGAGTCTGCGTCTGGTATGGGACTCCCAAAATTCGATGGTGCTGTTCAAAATTCGTCAAAAAATTATGGAGAGCCCTGGGAAGGAGATTGAATCTGTTTTGTATCCTACTTTCTTTGCTCTATCCGCAGGCCACTTGGACATCTTCGGAAGATCAGTACAAGAATTTAGAAAAATAGTGGAACTTGACCTTGGTAAAAAGCATGGGCCGCAGTTTATAACAATTTTCTGAGAGCTCGTTGTTTCGTCTGCATATAGAAATGACCATCGGAAAGAGCATGAAAAACTGCATCAAATGCTACCAAGAGCTCCTTTATACCTTTGTTCTGCGGACTGTCGCGCTTGTTCAAAAAAAGCGAAAATATTAGGTCGTTCCGAAAGTTCTTTCCGTTTTTTCAACCTATCATAAAAACACGTGGAATGAAAGTATGGAAACGCTTTTGGTACTATCCGACGCAGCTTTTCTTCCCCTTTTCAACTGTCATAATCTTGTGTCGCCTGCTCTTGTAGTCAGTGAGATAATGGCCGAAATTTCGAAATTATGGTTTTTGCCTTGTCCAACTTTGACAATTTTTCACAGTTTTCTTTTATGACTTTTGAAGAAGCTTCAATAGCAGTCGGATAGAGTAAAAGTGCAATTTAATGAAATTTTTTGGTGGCTATTGCTAGCCCTAAAATTTTTTTAGAATTATTTTTCTAATGCTATCAAATTCCACTTTTATTGATGCCAAGAACCATAGAACATAAAACAGCGCACAACTGAGGTGTCTTTCGATGCAGCTTTTTCTCCTCTTTCTATTGAGTATTTTTCTTCCCAGTTTATGGGGTTTTTAGCGATAAAATTCCCATAACTCGTGATTTTGAACCCGTCCAGGGATGTACACGTGAAATGCGAAATCTTATATTTCGAAGCGGTAAACACTCAGTTACTTTGTAAAAATAGTGGACAATCATAAACGACTGTTGAAAGTGTCAAAATCCGAAGATTTGCTGATGTTCGGAGCGTTTGCGTGTTTTGTGACTTTGAAAAAGTAAACATTTCTGGAAAAGTTATCTTAAAAAATAGCGAGAAGCCAGTTAAAATTGCCAAAAATTTTTTTTTTAAATTGCACTTTGTTTACTCTATCCGACTGCTATTAAAGCTTCTCTAAAAGTCAAAAAAGAAAGTTGTGAAAAATTGCCAAAGTTGGACATGGTAAAAACCATGGGTTTTAAATTTCAGCCATTATCTCACTGACCACAAGAGCAAGCGATACATGAATATGACTGTTGAAAAGAGGAAGAAAAATTGCATCGGATAGCACTTGAAGCGTTTCTCTACCCTCATTCCACGTGTTTTTATGATAGGTTGAAAAAACGGAAAGAACTTTCGGAACGACCTAATACTTTTGGTACGACCTAATATATTCGAGTATTCGGATTTTTTTAATTCGAATATATTCGATATTCGATTACTCGACAATTTTCTTATTTCGAAAATATTCGATATTCGATTAATCGACATTTTTGTTTTTCGAAAATATCCGATATTCGAATATTTGACATTTTTTGTTTTTGAAAATATTCGAAATTCGATTATTCGATATTTTTGATTTTCGAATATATTCGGTTATTCGATTATTCGAAAAAATTCTCGAATATCCCAAAGTATATTCATTATCATGAAAAGCACCAGAACATGAATTCAAAAAAAGGAAATTTTAGTATTGAAAACGCATTCACTATGAAAAAGTTGTGAAAATGATGAGAGATCAAATTATTCTGTTAGTAAGTCAAGATTTAGCTTCAGAGCTGTTCTAAACTGCTATAATTTGAATCTCGCTTTCTGGATAGATTCTGTGGTTTTGATTCTATAGAGCGCAGCAAGCTCTACAAGGCAGTGTTTTGAAAAGTTGCATCAAATTTGATCTACGCGAATTTGTAGCCAAAAAACTAGAAAAAAAAACAAAAACAAAAAACTGACATGATGATGTCTGCATTTGTTTACATGTCTTGTTCGTTTCCGCTGTATTACTAACTTCTTGATGTGTCTTTTTTTATAGAACGCCTTGGGCGTACAAATGAAATGAAATGAAATGAAAAAATCTAACTGTTCGAAAAACCCAACAAAATAAGAAACTTCATCATAAATTGCACTTGTGCAACTTGCTCAATGGATATGTTTTCACATCAGAGGTGCCTATATCACATTCTCTGGCTGAAAATCGAGAAAACGGAACTTTGTTTCCGACAAAGCGATGCCTACAAGTAGACTTCATAACTTCTCATCTGTCACCTTCCATCCGTCATTATTCATCTTTAACAGAACACATTGGGACTATTCTCCAAGCCTGCACAACTCGGAGTAAGATTAGCTAGTGGGCGGAGCATGTGGGCGGGGCCGTCTAAAAGGTGCGAGAGCCCCTTGGAGGTGCTAACTACCCCTGCAAGGAAAGGCGGCGAGGCTTTGGGAACTCCTGGCCGCCGCCGGCAAGTAGTAGCCATTGGCGATCGCCGATATCGACGGCAAGCGATTGCCACTTTTGACAACCAAGCATTAGGTAGGCATCGATTGAACATGTTGGAGCATGTCAGTGTCGATCGACAACTACCTAATGTGCAGTCGCCAACATTAGCGACTAGCGATCGGTAGTAGTAGTAAACGGTTATCGCCAATTGCTACTATTAGCGACACGAGCGTTATGCTCCTAGAGACAACGGCTGCTCTCATAATAGTTATGAAACCCAACCTTTTACCACCACTATATGAAGAATCCGCATCGGGGGAATTGGCGATACGACCGCAAAGAAGCTAATAGACGCGGACAGTGCGTGATACTCTGAGAGACAGACAGGAAGATTATCCGCTTTCACAGCTCACATACAGTGTGCATAGTGCTAAGAAGGTACAGGTCTTGTAAAATCTAATTGACCACGTGCAGCTTTGAACACTAAAAACGCGGCAACTGGAAGTGTTAATTTCCGAAGCGCAACGAGTTTGTTTTGAACGGCAATGAGCGCACACCTCTTTCAAACATATTTTTTTAGACAAAGAAGTTCCGTCAAAACATACTTTTCAGTGTTAAAACACGTTAACTGATGGAGAATTTTAAAGGTAACGAAAGCCTACAGTTACTCGCGACGACACGCTTCCACTAGTATAAAACGCAGGGCAGGGGCAATAAAGCTTCACGAGGCCTATAAAAAGTCTGCAGTGAGACAGACACTTGTTTTAAGGGCGTCCACATCTCGCATAACACTGTTCTGCAACCTCTAGTTTTGCCCGGACAATGTCGCATTAGCACACATAATGACAAAGTGGCAATTAACAAATGGAATGAAAAGTGACGAAGTGGCAATATTTGGCAAGTTAGAGTCTATTCTATAACATTCAACCAGATCTCGCTAAGAGGCAACCGTAAAATCAAGCGAACTCACTAGATGTTTACATTGGTTCACATTAGCCCAAGATTGCCTGTCAAATTTGACTTTCTCTCAATTTAATGCAGACATGATGGCTGACCGGTAACGTATGGGGTTCGCCTTTGAAAGTATAGAAATGATAGAGATCCTAATAAGTGCTCATAATTGTGTAAGGTTTTGAAGTACAAGTAAATCTGATAAGGATTGCCTTGCAACAGCGTTATAGTATACGAAAAATGTATGAAAGACAATCATTAATTCCAGATGTTTCCCGGTCACACCTTTCCCAGAGGAAGATAACAGAAAGGGAATGGAAAGCTTGTCGCTCAACAAAGTCACCCTGAAAACATGTGAAAAAGAAACTCAAACAGATTTTTCAGCAAACATGAAGAGAAAGCTAGTGGTAGGTGTAATCAGCATGGAAGCCCACGATGGCAATGTAATTTTAGAAGCGTCCTCACTTCATGACCAATCCCGTAGATGACGAGCCTCAAAGATTTAGATTGTTGCAACCACCTGGCAATTACACCCTGACAGAAATGTTCGACGACCTACGTTGTATCGGGGTAAGGCAGGCTATCAAGTTTTTCGTCGCTCTCTGAATACAGCAAAGTTGCATTCTCTTTGATTTTTATCTGCATCTAATTCATTCTTGACGTAAATACCCATAAAATCCCATAACACGTAACGTCAAACCTTCAAAAATTCAGGATTCTCCTGCGACAAACAACGGTCCATCAACGTCATCGCAACTTCAAGAAACATTATCTACGTCTCAAACGGATGTAAATTTTACGCGAACAAATTCTTGCGCTGAGTGCCCACAATGCAGCTTTCGATCTCATCTCTCTGCGCCTCCTGCCAACTCTAAAACGATGTCGGAAGATCATCGAAATTTGACGCGGGCTTATTCAACTCCAGCTGTGCTCTCCAAAGAATCGCTTCATTACCAACAGGTACTCAACTACATCGTTATCCTTCTTCGCGAATCCTTTATTGATCTTTAAAGGTTCCATTGCCGATCTCGAACTTCATATCTCACCCACATACTCAACAGTCTTCTCATATTTCTTCTTCTCTAAGTACATGAAGATTTAGGTTATAGTACACGACCGGTGATACTGATTGTGAAGGTGTTTGCGTAATCTAACCATTTCAAATAAAATTGGATGTACGAATGTGTTGCTTAAAAAAGTTTGGTACTGGTTGTCGCAAAGCTTTTTTGGTTTTCGTCCTCTCAACTTTAATAAGCACAACTTTTTACAAATTCAACTTTCTTTCAAATAATGTCACTCTTCAGCGCATCTTTGGCAAGGCTCTTGTAGTGTTCATCTGCTTTTTATGTGGAATGTTTATAACGGCTCAAAAAGACGTTTTTACTTGCTTTTATTCTAGGCCTTAATACTTTTCAGTAATCTCCAAAGAGCGCGGAGGGTGGGGCAAAGAGTTGCAAAATCTTAAGCTACTTAATGGATTATAAAAACGCGCAAATGACTTGTTTATACTTGTAAATAATCATAAACTTCTGAAATTTCTCAAAAATTCAATTTAACTTCATAAAAAAATTCCCCTCTTTCTGCAATTGCGGCTATGGGCCCGCAAAAGTTTTAAGAAATATACCAAATTTTTTTTGGAATGCGTGGCTAGAGCCACGCACCTTCATTTGAAAATTTTTTTTGTCGCCTTCTCTCCCTCCCGAACGGAAATCCTGGGTACGTCACTGCTGGTAAGGTGGGTTTAAAGAGTTCAAGATTTAAAAACCAATTTCCTCATCTATGGTATGGAAGATTGTGGACGAGGATGGCACCTCTAAATACGTGCAAGTCGGCTCAATGATTCAAATTCTGAGAACGGTCTTTACATATTATAGGTGTTTTTGAACGCCGGCTTTTTTACCGCAATTGTCCCTATCGTTCCATTTGCACAAAAGCCGTGCATTTTTACGGAAACTTGTAATTTAATCCGCTACATCTTGTCCGAAAAACTACCTAATTTTGGTACTCCTGTCGTTGATATCTGTCTCACCGACGTTCGCCAATCTTCAGGTACCATATTGGAGAGTTGGTTTCTTACTGATTCGTTTCTTACTCACATTATGAAGCAAATCACTGATCGCAGATAGGGGAACGAATTTTGTTAGTTTGAGCACGCCTTCGCTGGCAACTAATCTTTTTGCTATATTCTTGCATGTCGTTGCAGGACCAGTAGTCCGCGGAGGCGGTTCAAACTGGCGGAGTTCGTTCCCCTACCCACTGATCGCTCCTCGTTACTTTAGGTTTACACTGTACACTAACGGTTTTGCACCTCTGAGGAACAATTCCCCTTAAAGGCACCGTCCACCCAAAATTTCGACCTCCACGTTTTTGCCGTTCCAAGGCCTTCTCATACCCCCGATTCCGATACCAAATCGGAAATCCGCGAAATCCACTGAAAAACCCCGTTTTTAGAACCCGCAGAGCGATTTCTTCGGAACAGCGATTGGTTGGGCGCGCACGAATAGGCGGGGCGAACGTCACGCCCACTCAAAAGGGAAAAGCCAACGTGGCGGATCTGTTATCCGAGCGACTTTCGAAGCAATTTTCTCGCTTCGGAAGCAACTTTTGCCAGCGCGTTGGATAAGTATACAGTTGGGGCTCCACTACTGTTAGTCAAAATCTCATCGACCCTAATTTGGGTGGACGGTGCTTAAACTCCGAGACAGCTGAATTTAGTTTTGAAGGAATTAGGGTCAATCAGAACACAAGCACCGCACTTTGCTAGGACATTTGCCTAAAATTTATGCCAAGTAAACTTTGAAAGTATTTTTGAAAATTCGAAAAAATCCGATTGCTTTGGATTGTTCGAACCTGCACAAAGTTAATGCTGCAATCAGCGCTCCTAAAACCCAATGCATCAAAGTATTCAAACAAAAAATTTGGCATTGCAGCGAGTTTACAGAGGTCATCATTTTTTCCTACCGTTATCCTCTCCTAACAAAGAGCAACCGATAGTGCACTCTGCAATCCCCACTTAAAGCCGGCTCTACAATGCCCCTTAGAATTGGCTAAAGATCTCAAAGTGTTTTAGCAAACGTGCCAATAGATGCTCCTGTTACTTATAGGCTTCACCTCATCGTTCAATAGTATTTCCTCCCTTGCCCTCTGCAAGCACTGTGAACGTTATCGTGTGCATGTGTGTCGTTTTTACGCCATCCTTGAGCTCTGTTGGGTTCTAACTAATCCTAATCCTCCCCCTCCCACTCCCCACCTCTTTTCTATTCCTATTGAAAAGGAGAAGAAGCATAGAGCAATGGAGGAAGTTTTCATGAGAATCTTCTGCTGAACTTCTAGTCTGGTTTTTCTTGAACAAATCCACACTTTTCCATACACTCTTCGGTCTAGCCTTAGGTTTAGGGTTTTCCTGCGATCCAACCTAAGTAACTTACAGCAGATCGCTCTCCAGTAAATCTTGTATAATTGGGCTGAAGCCAATTCTGAACTATTTCTGGAATCTGTTCTCCAAAAGCTATGGAATAATATACAATTGGTGGGTCTAATATTTTTGCGAGGTGATGTAGCCCAACGGTACCCCCCGCTTTCTACGTGCAGAACCCCATATCTCGACAATTGTGGCATTTTATGATTTTTTTACATCTTATACAGGAGAGTTCGCTTAGCACTCTATAGCCTCGCAAAGGGATTCCACGCAGTCGACTAACTTGAACTCAAAATTTACGTGTGTTTTCAAAGCATCTCTTTTTCCTCGCTGTAAATCTCCTTCACTACATCCGATCTCTCTGCGAGGGTATAGTAATACTCACTAAAACTTCCTCTACAAGATGCAAAAAAAGTAAATTGTAAAATGCCCCTATCACCGAGATATGAGGCTGCTGCAAAAATCATCTAAAATCGTTTTTTTCAACATATTTGTGTAAGTGAATTAATTTTGAAGTGAAGGATATAGGCGAATTCCTTACCTCAAGAGCTTTCGATTGATATATAATATGTAGGGGTTTGATCCCCGGTTGCTGGAAGAGGGGGTGAGCCAGGATCAAGCGTGCTGATGCGATCCGTATTGTCTCCGAAAACACTGAGAATCGTAACTATTATACTTTCTTCCGAACTTTCTATGTATAACTTCCCCTCTCCCCTTCCCCTCTCTCCAGGCAGTACTATCAACATTCATATGTTCCAATAAAGTTATGAAACTCGAGGTTTATTCGCCATACTCAAAACTTAGCCAATCTGTCTCTTCTTCTTTCCAATCTTTGTGTTTAATATTGTGAACATCAACTATTAGGTTGTCCGGAAATTAATGTCCGTTTTGGTTCTAAACCGCAACAAGTCATAAACTTTTTACTTCTAAATAGCTTTCAAAGCACCATTCGATAGAGCAAAGCAAGCTCTACAAGATGGCTATCTTGCTTTAACGACAGCTTTGATCCACCTTGAGTTTTGAGTCAAAAACTAAAAAGATTCAACTGCCCGAAAAATCGAGAAAAATCGTAACTTCAGTTCATAGCAATCCTACAAAAATTCTAACATGCTCACGTAAACACTATCCATATAAGACATCTGTGTACGCCGTTGCCGTATTTTTTCTTCTGTTAGAAATTAGGAAAACGGAAATTTTCATGCTTATGCCGAAGTGATGCTTTGTTGTCCCAACATAAGTAGATGTGCACTACAAATATGTAGAAGTACAAACTTAAATTTTCAGCTCTCTACAAGCTTTAGTTCTCAAGAAATATCGAATATAGCTTTCCTTGGTCAGGTGGTCCAAGCTAAAATTCAAATTTCTCGCGAACTAAAGCTTGTAGAGAGCTGGAAATTTACGTTTATACTTCTAAAGGTTTGTGGTATACAATTGCTTATGTGGGGACGGCACAGCATCACTTTGGCAAAAGCATGAAAATTTCGGTTTTCTTGATTTCTAACAAAGGAAAAAATACGGCAACGGCGTACATAGATGCCTTATATGGATAGTGCTTACGTGAGCAAGTTAGAATTTTTAGAGGATGAACTGAGTTACGATTTTTCTCGATTTTTCGGGCAGTTGAATCTTTTTATTTTTTGGCTCGAAACTCAAGGTGGATCAAAGCTTTTGCTAAAGCATGATAGCCGTTTTGTAGAGCTTGCTTTGTTCTAACGAATGGTGCTTTGAAAGCTATTCAGGAATGAAAATGTATGACTTATTGCGGTTCAAAACCAAAACGGACATTAATTTCCGGACAACCTAATAGTTCTTAAAAAAGTGTGCTCATGAATTCTTTCAATGCTCCGGCCCAGCTCAGCTACTATTCACTGCTGCTCGAGTTAACTCTGTGAAGTGCCTATATCTAGTCATATAAAATTTCTTATTGATAAACGAATATTAGGAACAATACGCTTGGGCTTCCTATAGATGACTCCCAGAATTATATTTCCATATTCACGTGGTCGCTCGAAAAAATCAATGCTAACTTAACAATCCATAAATTGTCGTAACCATTCACAGTTGAAAATTCATGGGCAGACTAGCACATGGATTTTCAGCCGAGAAAAATTTTTTTTGTAATCGTATGCATTCACGTTCACTCTCAAGACTCTGACATGGTGGAATTCGAATTCTAACCTTTTCTGATAAATTTGAGCGCTAGTTCATGTGAAGTTTTATTTATTTATTTATTTATTTATCGAATGCACAAGAAGTGCGCCTATCATGAAACAGCAGAAAAACTGAGTAATAGTCGGAAAAAGAGGAAAAAAACACTAAATCTAGACAGAAACTTGAAATCAGTGCTGGTAAAAAATCACAAGCAACACTCATTCGGGAACGTATGAGAACCAGAATGATACCGCCCAACAAAGAATGATATCGAGATTATAGCATCTCCAAAATTGACAACCTTAGTTACCATTATATCGTTGGTTAGTGAAGACTGTCAGATGCCAATGTGATTTTTGATCATGAGCCTTGAAGATAGGCTTATACTTGTATTTACATGGAAGGCCCCACTGAATGGGTGGTAAAGTTGGGATTGAGAGGCATATGTACCATGGCGATTCGAACTTCCGATTTCCGTTAATGAGAATTTGATATGAAAGAGTGAGACCTAGGCGAATGGGCGAAACCATGCGTACCTCGGTTGATCAAGTGAGCTCACCCTAATTACTGCATATTGTGAGGCATTATCTGCAATACATAACT